TTTTTTTTTTTTTTTTTTTTTTTTTTTTGGCATGCTGGGGTCTGAAACCAGAGACTACTGAGCTCTATACACTTATCAGATTTTAATTTTGAAACGGCCTCTCTAGGTTGCCCAGGTTGTCATCAAACTTAGAATCTTCTTCTCTTAGCTTCTCAAGTAGCTGAGATTACAGGCATACCACCATGCCTGGCACAAGAGGCTTCATGTTAGCAAATCTCAACTGATAATGCCTCATAGATCACTCATTTAATATTTCCACTAGATTTGAAAATGATCTCTTAAGAACACCTAGTCATAGTCATCTCTTATGGACCATTTTGTTCTGTCAGACAAAAATACAAGTTCCTCTTAAATTGAAGTCTTTGTTAGTTTTTTTGAGGTAAGGTTTGGTTACATAGCCTTGAACTGTAGAGCAGGCTGGCCTCAAACCTGTGACAGTGCCTGCCTCAGCCTCCTGAATGCTGGGATTACAGGTGTACACCACCTCACCTAGTTGCAGCCTTTCTAAAACTACTACCTCTCTCATAGCTATGAGCCTATGTTGCTTCTAGTTTCCCTCCTAGGTTAGCTTGCAGCCCTATCCTAAATAGGGTGATTTTTCTCTATGTGTAGTTCTTCATCCAACTCCCCATATGCAACCAGTAAAACTTGAGACAAATATCACCTGTTCAGTGTCTCTTGGGCAAAAGTAACCATTTCAAAACCAGTGTTGTGGCACACATCCCATGCCTTGGGAGGCTGAGGCAGTAGGACTGTCAAGAGTTCAAGACCAGCCTGGGTTACACAGACCCAATCAACAACAACAAAAAATATTTTACAAAATTTAAAAATAACTTTTATTTTCTGTTATTCCATGGCACTGGTGTGTATGTCTTAAGACACTTTTCACCCTGGCGTGGTGGTACACACCTGTAATCCCAGCACTCAGGAGGCTCAGGCAGGAGGATCACCATGAGTTCAAGGCCAGCCTGGGCTACATGGTGAGTTTGACACCAGCCTGAACTACATTAGCAAAACCCTGTCTAAAAAAGAAAAGATACTTTACAGCAGCCTTTTTGTTGACCAGCTTACCTTTCCACTTAGAAAGTATGAAAAGATAAGGCGTACTGTGTGTATACCTAGTAGTTACTGAAAGTAAGGGCTTAATGTATGATGAGTGAATGAAAAGCAAATCATAATAGAAACAGTGGGTAATAACAGTTTTATTTAAAATTTAAAAAAATTTTTTGGTGGGGAATGCATTTTTCAGGACTCCCTTAAAGCTTAATTAATTGGTCAGAAGACTGTATTAACAAATTAACATACAGAAGTCTGTGTGTGTGTATCTGTGTGTGTGTGTGTGTACATATACGTGTACACAGTTCTGGGGATTGTACCTAGGGCCTTTATACTGAGCTACATCCCTAGCCCTTTTATTTTATTTTTTTTAAGACTGGGTCTCTCTGAGTTACGCAGTTGCCCAAGCTAGGCTCAAACTTGTGATTCTCCAGTCTCAGCCTCCCAAAGTGCGCCACCATGCCTGGCTTAAAAATCTATCTTTGGGCTGGGGATTTAGCTCAGTGGTTCTGCCGCCTGCCTCACAAACACAAGGTCCCTAGTTTGATTCCTGGTACCAAAAAAAAAAAGGTCTATGTAAAAAAAGCACTGACATTTTGTACAAAAAGTTTTTTTGTTTGTTTGTTTTTTGAGACAGGGTCTCACTATGTAGTAGAAACTGAACTGGAACTCACTATGTAGCCCAGGCTGGTCTCAAACTCACAGCGATCCTCCTGCCTCAGCCTCGCGAGTGCTGGGATTACAGGAGTGTGCCACCATGCCCTGGCTTTGTATAAAAAGTGTTATTATTGGAAAGCTTAGCTATATTTACCTCTTCTATATTCAAAATTTATCAATGTGTAGCAAGCTGTATATAACGAAGTATATGCTTAAACTTGGGTTATAAACAGGGTGGTCACACTCTCCATTTGCCATTAAGTCTTGGTTAATGTCTCCTATGAAGGATATTTTTGTTTGCTTTTTGTTTTATGATGCTGGGGTTTGAATCCAGGGCGTCAGTGCATTATTGGCAAGTGCTGTACCACCAAGTTTTACTCCTAACAGTCCTTCCTTTTTATTTATTTATTTTTTGGTACTGGGGATCGAATCCAGGTCCTTGCATTTGTAAGGAAGGCAGCAGAACCACTGAGCTAAATCCCCAACCCCCTTCCTCCCTTTTTAGAAACAGGATCTCAACTTGCTTAGGTTGGCCTTGAACTCCTGGCTCAAGCAATCCTTGTACTGACACTCCAAAGTAGCTGAGACTCCAGATGTGTGCCATTAGGCCTGGCTTATTATCTAGCTGTAATCATTAGGAGTTCTCTTTTTGATCATTAAATATCCTAGTTTGGGCAATAAATAGTATATTTAACATAGAAATTATCTGGACAGGACTGGGGATTTAGCTCAGTGGCACTGTGCCTGCCTCACAAATGCAAGGTCCTGAGTTAAATCCCCAGTACCACACACACACAAATCTGGATAAATTATATATGAGTCTAAAGAATTTTCAGATTGTATAAAAGTAGCTTAATAACACTGATGTGAACTAGGACTTGAATGGAAAAATTCTGCAACCTTTTAATTGTAAAAAAGGGTATTAATTTAATTCTCCATATCTCATGGGTGGTTGGGAGAATCAAATAAATTTACATGTTAAGGGATTTGAAAACAAACATACTTGAATACAATAACAAAAAGGATTTTTACCTTAAAAGATCCAGTTTTCTGGAAGAGTTCACATTTGAAGAAAAGATTGCGCCCTGCTACTTGATTCAAAATGGAGCTTGTTAGCACTGGTGTGAGGTGTATATAATCTCGAATGTTGGTATGTGCTTTTTCAACATCAGCAAAGGAGATGCAGTACTGAGCACACATGGTCCTGGAACCCAGGAATAAAAAAAGAGGTCAAATCAAAGCCTTAGATAGTGTGTTTATTGAAAATATCTTGACTATGCATAATACAGAAGAATCAACCTAGTAGTGCTATGTGAAATCATCTCTTTTATTAAGTGCCAGAATTTCTATATAGAGGACTTGTCTTCAAGTTGAAGTTTTCTGGTGAAGCTTTAGGAAGTAATTGATGGTGCTTATGGAAGTTAAAACTTAGTCCCCTACTTATAAACCCATCTCTTGGTACTGCCACTAGTCTCTACTTTGCTTTTTTCATCAGTTTTGCATGTGCTTAAAAATCAGCTATAGGGTTGTTTGTTCGTTTTTCTGGTACTGGGGATTGAACTCAGGACCTTGTGCTTGTAGGGCAGGTGAGGTACCACTGACCTAAATCCCTGGCCCTGTTTGTTTGCTTTTTGATACTGGGGAATGAATCCAAAGCCTTCACACTTAACTACATCTCTGAACTTTTTTTATTTTTTACTTTGAGACAGGGACTTGCTAACTTGCCCAGGCTGGGTTCAAACTTGCAATCCTCCTGTCTCAGCCTCCCAGAGTGCTGGGATTACAGGTGTGTACTATCATGCCCAGCTTTGTTTTGGTTTTGTGGTTTTTGTTTTGTTCTGTTTTTTGGTACTTGGGAATCAAACTTGGGTTCTTGAGCTTGCAAGGCAGGTGGTGGAACCACTGAGCTAAATCCCTGGCTCTGTTTTGTTTTGTTTGAGATGGAGACTCACTGTGTTGTCCAGGATGGTTTTGAACTCGTAGGCTCAAGGGATCTTCTCACCTTGTTTCTAAAGTGCTAGGTCAATAGTGTCCCTGATTTAAATATTTATTTATTTATATATATTTCCGTGGTGATAGTGACTGAACTCCAGGGCTTCAATTATGCTACGCAGGAGACTATCATTGAGCTACAGTCTGATTTTTTTTTTTTTTTTTTTTTGAGATGGAATCTCAGTAAGTTGCCCAGGCTGGCCTTGAACTTGGATCCTCCTACTTCATTCTACGTAGAAGCTTGGATTACAGGCATGTGCCATTGCATTTGGCTTCTTTAAAATATTACTTGGGCTGGGGATTTATCTGAGTGGTTCTGCCGCCTGACTCACAAATGCAAGGACCTGAGTTCAATCTTTGATACAAAAAAAATGGGGCTGGGGGAGTAGCTCAATGCACAGGCCATGTTCAGTCCCCAGTACTGCCAAAAAAACGATGTTCATTTTCTGTTTCTAACATTGTCTTCCATTTGGCTTAGTTTATTCAGTTTCCATAACTACAGTTTTCAGTAATTGTATTATGCTTTCATATCCTATCACCCCCCCTCCCCCAAGGATCAAACTCAGAATTTTGAGCTTGTGAGGCAGGTGTGGTGCCACTGAGTTAAATCCCTGGCCCGTTTGTTTCTCTTTTTGTGGTAGCCCCCCCCCCATACCAGGGATCAAACTCAGGTCCTTGTGCTTGCAAGGCAGGCAGCAGAACCACTGAGCTAAATCCCTGGCCCTATGGTAGCTTTTAAACTTAAGGTTCTCTATTTTTCCTTTGTTTTTGGTACTGAGGATCGAAGTCAGGACTTTGCACTTCCAAGGCAGGTGGCAGCACCACTGAGCTAAACATTTTTTTGGCCTTTTGAGACAGGATCTTCCTCTGTAATTCAGGCTGTCCTTGAACTCCTACAACCTTCTTGCCACTGCCTCCCTAGTGCTGGCATTACAGGGATATGCCACCACACCCGGCAATTTTTCCTTATTATGAAAGCAATCCATAGATACTGAGCCAGGTGTGGTGGTGCACACCTGTAATCCCAGAATCAGGAGGCTGAGGCAAGAGGATTGCTATGAGTTCAAGGCCAAACAGGGCTAGTCAGTCCAAGGCCAGCCCTGGCTCAAAAAACCCCAAAACAAAACAAAACACCAAAACAAAGCAATCCATAGAAAAGGAAAAAGATTCAATTTGAAAATACAGAAATGCAGGGCTGGGAATGAAGCTCAGCGGTGCTGCACCTGCCTGGCAAGAGCGAACTACTATCTAAGTTCTGATAATTTATCTATCCAGAGTCACATATGTATGGCTGGCAAAACTTTTTTTTGACAGATTAAAAAAAAATTTTTTTTGACTGGAGATTGAACTCGGGACCTGGCGCTTGTGAGGCAGGCACAGTGCCTCTGAGCTAAATCCCCGGCCAACAGGTTTTTTTTCAGACAGCATTAAATATCTATGAATTATGTCAGTGATACATTCATACAACCTTTATGGGTTTTGAGATAGGGTCTTATGTTGGCCTTGAACTCACTATGTAGCCCAGGCTGGTCTGGAATTTGTGATCCTCCTGCCTCAGTCTCCTGAGTGCCATGCCCAGCTTCTTTTGTTTTAGATACATTATCTTGTTATGTTGCCCAGGCTAATCTCAAACTTCTGGGGTCAAGTGATTCTTTCGCCTCAGCCTCCCAATTGCTGAAACTATACACCCGCAATATCATACATAATCATATGCAACTCTTAAAATAGTGTTGTTACTCCTTGTACAGAAATACAGAAATTTTGGGCTAAGGGTGTAGTTCAAGTGATAGAATGCTGTTTAGCATACATGAAGTGATGGTTTCAAGTCTTAGCACCTTAAAAGCAAACTCAAGACCATAATTCTACTTTTACATAACTGTTGAACTTTTCTTCCTTTCCTCCTTTCCTTTCTTTCTTGGTGCTGGTGATTGAGCCTAGGACTTTCATGGTGAGCTATATCCCTAGTCCTCTTTTGTTTCTTAAGACAATCTTTATTGTTATTTATTTATTTGTGGTACCAGAGCTTGAACTCAGGACCTTGCACTTGCCAGGCAGGCATGACACTGCTGAGCTACATCTGTGGCCTGAAACAATATTTAAATTGCCCAAGCAAGGCTTTAAATTTCTGATCCTTCTGCCTCAGCCTCTCAGATGGCTGGGATAACAGATGTGTGCTAGTATGCCTGATTTAAACTTTTTCTTTTTTTTTTTTTAGTTTTTTGAGACAGAGTCTTGCTATTTTGAGATAGGATCTCACTAGGTTTCAACATTTTTGGGGGGGTACAATAATGATGTAATGAACAGACCTGTTTCAAGATCTCTGTGTATCTCCATATATCCTTAGGGTAGATTCTCTTAAAAGGCATTTTGTATCTAAAGACATATACACTTCTAAGACATCTGAATTATTTTCTCAGCACAGCAGGCAATGTATTGATCTCATAAGACATTTTACCTGTCAAACTGATTTCCAGAAAGGCTGTATATTATCAATTTATACTCTAAGGAATGTCTTGTTCTTTCGTCCTTCTTTCTCCTTTTTGAGAAAAGGTCTCCTTATGTAGTTCAGGCTGAGCTTGAACTCACTATGTGGCTCAGGCTGGTCTCAAACTTGTGGTGATTCTCCTGCTTCAGCCTCCGGAAAGATGGGAGGGATTATAGGCATGTGCCACTACACCTTGCTCACACAATTCTTTTTTGTTTTTTGGTACCAGGGATCAAACTCAGAACGTTGTGCTTGCAAGGCAGGCGGCGACACACTGAGCTAAATTCCAGGTCCCTCGCTCACACCATTCTTCCAAGTGAACTTTAGAATTCTTTTAGATTACCCCAAGTTCTGCTGTAAAATATATCAAATGGGGGCATACGAGACAATTTAAAAAACTGTCTTTACACAAATACGGGTGTCTTCCTATTTAGCAAAGGGTTTTTTTCATTATTTTCTGTCATACACACACACACACACACACACACACACACACACATACACACACATATGATTAAATTTATGAGTACAATGTGTTTTTTGTTGCTTTTGAGAAGATGTTTTTACCATTAGATTTTAAAATTACTAATGATGTGTATGGAATTTAACTTTTGTATACTTATATATTGCTTCAAAAAGTATATTTAGGGCTGGGGATGTAGCTCAGTAACACAGTACTTACCTGGTAAGTGCAAGGCTTTGAGTTTGATTCCTGGT